TCCATTATTGTTCATGAGTCAATAAAATTTCTAAATTTCTCTGCCATATTTCTTGTCTTTTATTATTCTTTTGCTTATGATCATATATTTCATATTTTGTCATACAATTTCGATATTTCAATCCCAAATTACAATAAGTGGATCGGAGAAATACATAATTTTTAACAAATGGTATCATAACAATTCCATCGATCCTCAACACACATTATTGAACAATATTGTATACAAACATTTTATTCCTCGATTTATTATTAAATAAATATATTTCTAACTTTACTTTTTAATCCTAGTTACCGTACACTTGGACGGAAAGGAGATCATATATTCAGATAATCAATAAGATCGACAATGACATGCCCAAGTTGTGAGCATCTTTTCCAAGTGTAGGCCACGATGTTTCACTTTCACAAATCCGTGTCCATTTTGGCTACTTGATCCGCAGCAGCACAAAGATGTATATGGACAAAACCTGTCACACTTTAAATTCTATCAAATATATTTCAAAGCAATTTGAAATTTTCCAGCTTGCACATTTAGTTAATTTAAGCAAGAGGGTTTCTTTTTCTTTTTTTTTTCTTTTTAATTTCAAAATGTGAAAAATCCATTGCCGCACTAGTTCTCGTTAGACAAGTAATTGAAGCAAGTGGCAAAATTTATCCTATTTCATGTACAAATTTTTTTACGGGGTGTCATCAACTAAGATTTTGATGGATTTTAAGATATTATAAATCATAATGAATTTCGTGGATTTAAATAGATTTCCACAAATTTCATAAGAATTTCATCAAATATGGTGAAGTTTCAAAAGATTTGATTATATGTATTTTTAAGAGTCTGTTTGGTACACATTAAAATGAGAGAATGTATTTTTTTGAGGTGATGTGATGAAGAATATATGGTTGAAAAAGAAGAAAAAGTCATTGATGTGATGAAAAATATTATTTTATTAAATAAAGTTTGGTTGAAAATGAATAAAAGAATGATAATGAAAAAAAATAATATGCCCAAACAGGAGCTTAAGTTTGAAATATGTCCACATATTTTGAAAACATCTAAATTTAGAATTGTTTTTAAAATTCATCACCATCTCAATTAACATGACAAAGATAGTCCAGGTGATTCAACAAAATGCAAAAACAATGGCTACGTAAATAAATGGTAGACGTCTAAATCAATATGCACCGTCATACAATTTTCCAGAATCGTTACTCATGATTCTGTCTCAATCACATTTTTCCTTCAATAGAATGTGCTTAAAATGCAGCCTGTGGTTATCATTTATCCTTGAACCCAGAATGATAACCATAGCCTATGGCCTATGGGCTTTATCATCATTTATCCTTGAACACAGAGCACGCCTTTTTGCAATTCCTGAAGTCGTTTTTCTCTTGTTGATGTGATAGAGATTATGTGGTTGAAAAAGAAAAAAAAGTTATTGATGTGATGAAAAATATTATTTTATTGAAAAATTTGTGGTTGAAAATGAGTAGAAAAATGAGAATGAAAAAATAATGTGGACCAAACATGGGCTTAACGTGGTAATTTTTTCTTGACTTATACAGTAAATTACAAACCACGACTTGTATGCCATGTAGGAAGACTATCGATAGTTTTCACTGTAAATAACATTATTTTATCTTAATTTCATATCTCCTGCTTTAGTCTTATCCGTTGGCTAACTTCCATTAACATTTTGACACGTGTGTTAAAAAAAATTAGTTTTGCAAAAAGGTCCTCATCATTTGTATTTATTGTGAAAATCATCCCTATCGTTTTAAATCTGACATCTACGCCCTTGTTTCAATATTTTCTTGCAAAGTTGATCCATTCCGTTAATTTTTTCCAGTCAAATACTGGGTAATTAGCATAAAATATCTCATTGTTTGCCTTCAATTGTCTTTCTTGTTTCAATTTTGACATTTGGACCCTCAAATCAGCATTTTTAATATGTTTTATAATGAAACTCGTTTGCACTATTTAGAAAATTTAGGGCTTTGACCGTAACTATTATTTTTATATTCTTTCTTTCTTCTTTATTTGTTTATTTAAAAGAGAAAGTAAATTGTCTTTTACAATATTTTAATGAAGAAAATAAACTATAAGAACCTTTTATGTAAAGAAATGTTGATTTGAAGGTACAAATGTCAAAATTAAAATGATATGAACGATTTTCGTAATTAAGGCAAACGATAGGGATGTTTTGCGTCGATCCCTAATATTTAGCGGAAGGAATTAAAGAAATGGAAAGAAGGGACCAAGTCAACAAGACAATGTTGCAATAAGGGTGTATATGTCAAAATTGAAACCACAAAGACGATTTTCGATTACAAACAACGAGGACCTTTTGTGCAATTACCCTTTTCTGCTAACTATTGCGTGTTTATATATTGGTACACTCATATCCTAAAATCTCATTCTTGATCTCTATCTCCCAAAAAATAAGAGGAATTAACACCATATATGCTCTCAATAAGCAAAGCAAAGCAGCATCTAAACTCACCCCAAATTAACCTCAACCTCCTGTACTATGGCGGACCCAAATCCATTCCTTATGGCTGATCAAAACCCTGAAAGAAATGGATCTTCCAGCCAATCCAACCTGCAGGTTCCCGATTTGGCCCTCCAAAAGAAGCCTAAGAGAAACAAGTTTGCTTTAGCTTGCTCTATTTTGGCTTCGATGACATCAATCTTACTCGGATATGGTAATTATAATAAATATATTATTATAAAGCGCAAAGTTACAGATTTTGTGTCGTTCTTGTCCCAATTTCTTCATAATTTCTGCAGATACAGGAGTGATGAGTGGAGCTACGATTTACATCAAGGAAGACCTCAAAATCACCGATGTACAAATAGAGATCCTGGTAGGGACCATAAATATCTACGCCCTTGTTGGTGCCGCCGTGGCCGGACGGACCTCCGACTGGATTGGCCGCCGTTACACCATAATATTCGCGTCGGCAATCTTCTTTGTCGGAGCTCTTTTAATGGGCTTGGCCACCAACTATTCATATCTTATGTTCGGCCGGTTTGTGGCCGGGATCGGAGTTGGCTATGCTCTGATGATCGCTCCCGTGTACACCGCCGAGGTATCTCCGGCGGCATCTCGTGGATTCCTCACTTCTTTCCCTGAAGTCTTCATAACCCTGGGTACTTTTTCTCACACGTACCTAGAAAACGTGTATCATTTCAATTTACTTTACCTTCCCCTTTTACCACTTGGAGATTACTTTAAAATTTTAATTGTTGGTTAAGGGTGTGATTGAGCCACAATATTTTATTTGGAAGAATTTATTTTGGAATAGTGAATTGATGGAGAATGTGTGGTTGAAAAAGAAGAACGAGTTATTAATGCGATGTAAAATATTATTTTATTGAAAAATATGTGGTTGAAAATAAGTAGAATAATGAGAAGCTAATTAAACAATTAGGCTTAATTATATATTATTAAAAAACAAAAAGAAATTTTGTATTCACATATCTCAATTGTTGGTTATTATTTGTTTGATTGTCGATAATTGATAAGGGATCTATGAATTTATTTCTTCCTTCTTTGAATTTTTTTTTTTTTTTGTCGTTTCAACATTAAAAATTATTACCAAGATAATTTATTATTATTATTTTTTATTTAGGGCGGTGCCGTGGTCTGACAATAAGCCAAAGATCTAGATATTTGTTAGTTGTCGTTATTGTCGGTGTATAACGTGAATTGTGCAGGGTAATTATTGATATTTGGACCAATGAGAGAATTCCACATTTCCATTGCCACAACCACAAGCATTGTTTTGGTTTTGACTAAACTAATAATTTTCGTGCTTTTCTATTTTGACACGTTTTCAAAAATTTGAAAATTCTTGTCTACTTCTCCTTCGTATTAAAATATTAATTTTAAAAAGAGCAATGCTACTTGTACATAAACGTGTACATAATGTGAGTGGGAGTGGGGCCTAAGCTACAGTGTCGTGGGCTCCACCAAACTCACATTATGTACACGTTTATGTATACACCTATATACAAGTAGATTAATCCTTTTAAAAATCCAAATCGATATTCTTATTATCTTGTGCTGCATAAAAATTCTGCACTTGAGCTCTTTTCTTTTTTTTTTGGAAAACTATTTTCCCTAAAAAATGGGGCTTAAACAGGACCACGTCTTAAAGAATATATGATGTCACTCTAATGCATCAGTCGATTCTTTTAGTCTCTGGCAATTGACTGATTTAATTCGTTTTGTAGGTGTATTGCTAGGATATGTATCCAATTATGCATTTGCCAAACTCCCAACAAACTTGGGCTGGCGACTCATGCTTGGTATTGGTGCTCTTCCATCAATTTTCCTAGCTGTGGGTGTCCTAGCCATGCCCGAGTCACCCCGGTGGCTAGTCATGCAAGGTCGTTTAGGCGATGCAAAGAGAGTCTTAGATAAAACCTCGGACTCGTTAGAAGAGGCCCAAATTAGATTGGCCGATATTAAAGAGGCTGCTGGATTGTCAGAAGATTACGACGAAGACATCATTTCTGTTCCGAAACGAAGCCATGGCGAGGACGTATGGAAAGAAATCTTCCTCCACCCTACGCCGACCGTCCAACACATTATGTTGGTGGGCATTGGCGTACATTTTTTTCAACAGGCGAGTGGCATAGATGCTGTTGTGTTATACAGTCCCAGAATTTTTGAAAAAGCTGGTTTAAAAAGTGACACAGACAAACTACTCGCTACTATAGCTGTTGGATGCTCCAAGACGGTCTTCACCCTAGTGTCTACATTTTTCCTAGACAAGGTTGGACGTCGATTTTTACTCCTCTCAAGTTGCGGTGGTATGATAATCTGCCTCATAGGTCTAGCCACTGGATTGACCATAATTGATCACTATCCCGATCAACATTTAACATGGGCCATTGCCTTGTGCATTCTCATGACATTGTTATCCGTCGCTTTTTTCTCGACGGGGATGGGTCCCATTGCATGGGTCTACAGTTCCGAGATCTTCCCATTGAGGCTAAGGGCCCAAGGGTGCGGTATGGGAGTGGCAGTTAACAGATTCGTCAGTGGGGTGATCTTAATGTCATTTATATCTCTGTACGAGAGCATTACAATTGGAGGGGCATTCTTTTTGTTCGCAGGGATTGCAATTATAGCTTGGATTTTCTTCTATACATTGCTACCAGAGACGCGGGGAAGAAGCCTAGAGGATATGGAGGTCCTGTTTGGTAGTTTCTGTAGGTGGAGATCCACCAGTAATAAAATAGAGAAGGAAGAAGGGCAATATTAATGGACTAAATAAACCACTGTAGCCAGGCTGCAGGGTAATGTTATACCTGGTATGTCGATTCTATGATAGTACAAGCATACTCGGAATTTATTAAAAAGTAAAAGTAGTAGTGAGTCTTGATTGTTTGTACCATGCACTACTTGCTAAGTACATGTTATGTTAATGTACTGAACATGCTTGTGGTCATTTTTTTTTCTTTATGATAGCTGGCTTGGTGCATGCGAACATAGATTGCAAGGGAACTTCTCCTTGCATTGCAAACACTATCCCCAGTAATTTCTTATTTTGGAAGAGTCCTGTCCCTTTATTTGTCTACACGATTGGATGGATATGATTAAATGCTATTTCTTATGCAATTTATTATTTTTCAATTTTTTTAATTTGCATATTTCTAATAATAAATATACACTATTGATCACACACTTATTATACAGTTTTAGTTTCAATTTCTTCTTAATTTTAATGTACCTAGTAAATTCTCAATGATTGTATATAATAATAAAATAAATTTTTTTTTTATGACAAGTGACCAGAACGGTCACTTCCGGTCACACTGGTGACCAAACGGTCACTGATTTTTCAGTGACCGTTTGGTCACCATTTTTAAAATTTTTTTTCTACTTTTTTAGTTTTCTTCTCCTATAAATGCCCAATCCATTACAACATTTTTTTCCCATCAAATTTTCATTCTATACTCTCTACAATTTA